CACTACTTGAACCAGCCTCCCTGCTGCATAGTGCCCCCTAACTTTGCTCATCCATGCTGTGGATAGTTGGTGATAGAATTTCTCAGGCTGATGGTACTGAATTTTAATCTGCCTTCCATGTGCATGGGGTTGCAGGTGGCTTGGGAGTTCATGGCCACCATCACCATTACGGAGCTGCCACAAGTTATTATGGGCCAGCTCACAGCAGTGATCATGTTAGACCTGATGATGTTAGACCTAAAGATGTGATCTGTAGTTGGGAGATGTTACCATCAGTCTCTTGTCGTGGTCAGGTCACTCTCTGCAATCTTTTGAGTTCTCTGCATCTGCTCCCCACTGTGGGGAGAAAGGTCCTATTTGATTAGTCTGCCCCAGGTCCCTGATGGGCTCTGCTGGGTTTTAAAGTGAACTTGGGGTTGTTCTTAAGGCTCTGATGCATGATAAAGCTGAGACCTTGATCATTGCCTGGAATGAGGGAGCGGCAATGGCCATGGTCTGGATCGGACTTCTGTGGACTCTCTGTTCATGGAGCCCAGAGAGCTCCCTGGTTTGTAGAAGAACTCTGAGAGATGCACTGGCAGAAGAGATGCCTAGAGAGCCACTGGAGAAACTGTTGTATACAAGTAAGAGCCTTTGTAAAGGATTATCCTGTGGCAGTAAAAGCTGCAAAACCTAATTACGTTCTTATCACATCTGTAGACGGTTGGCCCTAAATAAGGTGACTTGCTCCCTTCTGGGGAAGGAGATGGTAGAGGAACATCTACAGGGCTGCTGCAAAGATGCCTAGATTATTCTACACATCTATTGGATACAGTAGCTGGGCTCTGCTGTGCAAGTCCTTTGGTGTTAACTGAGGCACAGTCTAGTACGAATCCCTAGGGAGAGGTTGTGGGAGATCTAGATGAGGAAGAACAGGCTTTGGCTTAACCCAAGCAAACCTGAGTGGCTGAGAGTTTTGGGGTCCCCCAGTTCTGGCATCCTTCCATCATTAGTTCTGGAGGGGGTAGCAAATTCCCAAACAGAGATGGTGTGCAATTTGGATCTCTTTTTGGATTCAGTTCCTGCCAGAAGAGCAGCTGGCAACCATGGTCAATAGGGCCTTTACACAAATTCATCTTGGGTGCCAATTGTGCCTCTTTCTGGATTGAAAGGCCCTGCTCATGGTGACTCATGTCTTTGGTACTTCCTGTTTGGACCATTGCAATGTATTCTATGTGGGCTACCTTTGAAGTTCATCCAGAAGTTGCAATTGGTCCAGTATACAGCAGTGTGGGTACTTATGGGTGCCCCATGATACACCCATGTAATCACAGTGCTTTGTGAGCTGGTTTTCTGTTATCCATTACTGTGTTTTTAATTTTTTTAACCCATGTCAGCTACCTAAAGTCACTATTTGTGAGTTGGGAGTCATATACAGTATATCAACTAACTAAGTAACGATAGATAGATAGATAGATAGATAGATAGATAGATAGATAGATAGATAGATAGATGATAGGTAAATTCATTGCCACAGTGGCTTAATGTGAACACTTTCAAGAAAAGCCAAGTATTTAAAGTATTTAAGATACTGTGAATACATATATTCAAAAAAAGGAAAAGAAAAAAATAATAATAAAAAAGATTATGGATTATGAGCAAAGAGCAGAGGGAGAAATAACCCCTGACTTTGAAACTCCTCTGCCTGATCAAGTGTCACGTGCAGAACATTTTTATAACCTTACTACTCTTTTCTCCCAGCAAGAGAAATGAATCTCTCAGCAAGAGAGAGAATCTTCCTGCCTATTTTCACAGAACTGAGACGAACAGGGTGAATGCTTTAAGGGACCATTTTAATTTCCTTTTCCATATGTTTCCTGACCCCACAACAGGGTCCTTTGCCAATCTGAATTGATCTACCTCCCTTCAGGTCTGGCTAGCATTCCAGACCTCTTTAGTTCCAGGGCAAAAACTTGGAGACTAGTCGATTAAAAGTTATGTATGCCCAATGAAGAAAAAATACTTAGTTGCATCAGCTTGTTCTCTACTTTATTGTCATGTACACAGTTCAGCGTTTAGTGTTCAACAAATATTGTCATATATTCTACATCTTCATTTCTTTAACTTTAAAAAATGAATGGTTGAAGAACACATAAGATCTCAGTACATGACTATATTGCAGAATATATGGCAACATCCAATAATGTACCGTATTCTTGAATCCATCCAGAACTGGAGTTGTGTGCAGTTCAAAGTAGCAAGCCATACTTTCATTTTCCCTCTCCCTCCATCCCATGGACACACAGAACATTTAGGGAGCCTTAAAGGAATGCAATTTGCCATGCAGTGAAGGTGCTCTGTGCTCAGGCAAAAGGAATCTTAATTAAGCGTGACTCGATTCAGGATAATAGCAAGCAGTAAAACCACGGACGTAAAGAAACTGCTTCGGAATCAGGAATGGGTCAGTAAGAATAAAGCAAACAAGCCAAAGTAAAAAAATAAATACATAAATATTGGAATTCTGCATCAGCTATAGAAAAGCAAGGCAGCAAACAGATGCTCTTTGGGCCTGGGGAAAACAAAATAATTGTAAGTGGAAGCATGTTCAACACCTACCCAGCTAAATCTGCTGAAGGATAATCCTCTCCCCTGCACATGTAAGAAACAAACAAAGTGACATGATAACCACCATGGACTACAAAGACACTGAGGATGCCAAGAGTGGAGTTGATAGAAAAGGAGTAGTGTGGTCATGCGGATTAAAATATTTAAAGTCCAAGATGTTCAGATTGCAGTATTGATGTGGTCGTTTAGAGAAGTTTACTACATTCCTTCTTTCAGATGTGCATCATAAAAACCCATTGTCTAATGTGTGCATGATTATTACCAAAGAGAGAATATGGGCCCTCCTTGATTATGCCTTGTCTAGCTGCCTACTGCAGTATAATTCATGGTAAAGCATTTAAAGGTCTTTTAAATGCAATGATCTGTGGTCCTCTGTTATGCAAGTGGCATGCTTTTCATCCACCCAGAGTTTCACTCTCTAGTCCTAGACCCGTTTTCCAAACAAGTCTTGGCTTTCTGCATTCAGAAGCAAAAGATGTAGAGAAATTGAAGGAAAAAGTGGAGTGGGTAGAGTGTGGGTGGAAACTATCCTTTTAAAGATTAGATTAGATGTTGAAAGAATAGGCCACAGAATGAAAAGAATCATTCCATCCCCTCCTCCAGGAGGGAGCCAGCACAGCCTTAGTGTTTAGGGCTGTTTCTGAGTTCTATCCACCTGGACACATTTGCCTGGTCAGGTGGCCCTGGATGATGTTTCTTAATGCCAGTTCAGCCTGTACCAGGGCCTCCCTTATTCATAATTTAATAGTGGGTGAAAGGGCCAACCTGGCATATATCACTGAAGTCGGCTAGGCATCAAGGAGGAAGGGGGAGCCCACTGAGAAATATCCCCACCTCAGGTTTGGGTGTGGCATCAACCACGACCCCAGGGCATTTTATAATCTGTGTGACTCTTGTGGTTTTCAGGGGTGTTGCTCTGCAGATAACCGGTTAGTGTCCCTGCTTGTGAAGTTGGGCTCTAAGGATCAGATGGGATTGCTGCTATGGCATTAGCAGTATGGACTGTGATCAGGTATGCAGCAAGAATATTTTAAGACAGCAAAATACCTGCTGTAATGTACCATTTAGACTACATTCTGAAAGAAAGGTTATTGAAGTATTTTTAAATAAGGAAACCTGGTTGTCAGTCTTTGCTTTACCATAAGTTTTGTGACTTAAGATAAAATAATATAAAATGTTCACAGCAAACACTTACTTTTGCCTGAAGAGGAGGAGTTGTTCTGGGTGACACCTGAAAAACAGGTTAAAAAATAAGATTTTGCAAATATATAGGTAGAATCCCGTGTGTGTGTGTGTGTGTGTGTGTGTGTGTGTGTGTGTAAAATCCCAGGATTTTCCATTGCATCCCCGTTCCCAGCTTGAAAATTCCAAATGACCAATAGATGGCAGCAAAGGCAAACTTTTCTTCTCATTGCTGCTACCTAGTGGGTTTCTAATTTTCTGCCCCCATACCTGGGACCCACCTGCTTTTCCATTTTCTCCACATAATAGTCAGCTAACACATTGAGATGCTTCAATCTCACTGAAACTGGGGAACAGAGAGTCATGGTGATTTTTTTTTTCTATCTAAACTTTTCTTTGTATATTTCTGCAAGTATGGGGGCTTGTTTCAATTTTCTGCAACGCTTTTCTTCATGTCATGCCATTCAGACTCTTGGAATCTGAACTGACTATTACTGTATGCAAATGCCATCGGCATCCAAGAAGAGACCTATCATTACATATGGAGAAACCTTTCTAGATAGTAGAGATTCATTGGCAGGCAATTTTGGCAAGCTATTGCTCAGCGTAGCTATGCATCCCATTGTGGCTTGCCCTTCATCCATAAGCAATCCTGCCACAAACAGCTGCAGAGAAGAATGCTAGCTTATCCTACACCTCAGTTGATACAACATAACTTCATCACCCTATTTAGCATGCTCAGCCTACATGGGGTTTATTGGAGAGTTTCCATCCTTAAAAAATTTGGAGGCATCTCTGCAGACATTTTTCAAGCTTGTTGATATATCACTGTCTATTGGGAGGAAATATATGTGTGTGCTTGTAGGGGATAGGGAGAGACATGCATACAAACATATACGTACTATTGGCTAGTTATAATACAGGCTAAACGTCAAAAGCTTCAGGACTAACAAAGATTGATGACCAATACTAGTATTAAATATCTTTTAAATGATACATAATATTTTCTGGCTTCTCAACTTTCAACGCTATTTGAATGGAATTCCATGGCATTTGCATTTCTATAGGAAACCACCGTACCTTGAATTATAACACAACTAAATCCTGGTCAAATTCATTACAGTGACATCAAATATTAGAAGAGTTATCAGTGGCACAGTTCTATTATCTGTAGAACATTTTTGAAGTGCCAAAATCATAACTCTTGCAACCATTGTATTAAGCAGGTGATTCTTCTCAGATAGACCTTGTCACTAAAATTAGCTTTATAATGTCAAGTGAGAAATTGAATTTAGGACTTAGCTATCAAGCAGTAATTCAGTGTCATTCATTTTCTTCACATTCTTCATGCCAGAAGTAGCCAATAAACTTGGGCTTTTGAATCATGGTATTGCATACTTTGCTTTAAAACATGTTACTGGACAAAGAAGAACTAAAGACACATATAGCTTTAACCACTCATCCTGCACTCAGAGTAAGTTTAGTTCATCTCTAAGGTATCATTGCACAATCTCAGGTTAGCTGATCTTTAGGAACTGAAATTTCTATCTGCACTTTGTCAGAAGTTCAGGCTGGAAATATACTTCAAGTAACAGCAGCTGTTCAGGAAAACTTCTGTCTGTATGACTGCAGGGCTTGGTTTATACAGATGAATATGAGAGATTTACAAATCTCTACACAATTAAAAAACACCAGAAATAGTTTATTAGATTAAAAAAAAAATAAAACTCTTTGTAACAAACCTGTCACATAAATTAAGGGCAACCTAACAAGCGAGGCATGCCCTCAGCACTGAAGAATGGCTTGTAAGCTTCTGTCTGGGATTGTGTTTTAATTGTAGCTTATTATCCAAATTCGGTGGCTGTTAGGCACCAGAGAGCAGCCACAATATGTTCATAGGGACCCATTTTCCTCAGAAAATGGAAGATAGCATGAATGGTCTTATTATTATTAAGCTTTAATGTAGCCCAAACATCTTTCACCTTGTGCTTAAACATATTGCTTTGTAAATTTCCTTAAGGCTAAGGTGAGTAGCCATCTTTTTCCTTAAAATGCCCTGTTGTGACAGAGGAGTGTTCCTATGGCCCTGTTATGAAAGAAGAATAACGAATAATAAAGCCAATCTTCAGTGATCCGACAATTTATTTTTTAATAAGGGATACTAAAGCACCTCTTTAAAAACATCAAACAAATAATCAGGGCATTATGTGTCTTCAAAGAGATAGCCTTTCAGGCAGAATTCACTATTTAGATCTAACAATAACAGCCAAGAGGTGATCCCTTAACCACAGAAGTAGATTAGGCATTACTTTCAAGTCAACCTGATACAGAGGGAAAATAAGTTACAAATAGAATAAATAGTTGAAATTCTATGATTAGCCCTGGGCGTTTCATAATCTAATCCTATAAATCACGTTTAAATCCCAGAAAGGATGCATAAGATTTCTGGCTCCAATATATTGATTATCTGAAGGAATTCCCATATACACCCAAAGTGGTTATTTATTTCACTGTAGTAGATGGTTCCCCATATACTTTTGAATTTGTAGGACTTATGCTCCTATTGAATAGAATAGAGCAGGGTTTATGGATAAAAGATTTCCATACCCATTTGGAGCTGCGGATCAGGACAATGGCCTTTGCCACTACTGTCTATCAAAAATACTGTAACTTGGGGCCTGGCAGTTTATGTTCTTCTAAATACATAAGTAGGAATGACTTAGAAGGAAATAAAACTTACAATGTTCTTGAAGAAGTGGACTACTGGGTTGTCATCCACATATCGTCCATGCTGAGACCTTGGATGAGGCAGGGAACTTACATGGCTAACTCTGGCGGCATGGTGATAGTCCTGAAACACAGGGTAGGTTATACTTGTAGATCAGCATGTATTCTGAAAGTAATTCATGTTCCCCTCTTGAAATCAAATCTGTTATCAATGAAGTGTAAGGTCTTAAATAAAGAAGAAATTAGAGGAATGGAAATTAGAATCAGAAAGACTTAAGAAATCTGAGGAATTTGTTCAAAGTATTTATTTAGTGCAAGTTTTCTTCCAACAGTAGTCTATCAGAAACACAGCACAAATGTATTTACCTCTACTTATTATTTAGTTTGTTGTACAAGCTGACCTTGGCTGGTTCTAGAAAAGCCAAGCAAAGTCAGACTTGGTGAATAGTTGGATGGAAGACTACCAGCAGGTTGAAGGGCTGAAGACTAGAATGAGAAATAGAACAAACAAACAAAAAAACTCAGAAGGCAAAATGGAATCACTTTTATATTTTTGTCAAGAAAACAATATGGATGTGTCCCTTTAATATCACACAGTTGTGTATGATTGATAAAAACCATAACCTTTTTTAAAAACTGAAAGTTAGAAGTAAACTTCTTGTGACTATTCTATTTAGATGCTATTAGTAAGATGCAGTAATAGACTTATCCTTCAACAGTTGATCTGTTTTCAAAACTAAGAACATACAATTCTTTATGCTTTAATTCCATGGCCAGGAAGGAAACCATGTCGTACTGTGCATTTGGATAAGGAGTAGCTTTTCCAGTTTCCAAGCAAAGACCTTTTTAGATCTTCTTTAAAACTCTCCTTTGGGGTTCTAATAACCTGAGATTGTTTGCATGCAGATCAGCTACATTATTATTAAATTGCAATCCGAAACTTCCATCATGCATTTGCCTATTATTGAATCACAAGGATGTGCAAGGATGTGGAATATGGCTTCTGGAACTCTTTCCAACTCCTTTAGCAGCAATGGCTATAGGAGGCCTTTGTAGCTTCTTTTGTGTAATGAAGTAATACCATGTTGCATTAATGTGTGTATATCTGAGGGTTTAATCAAGGTCGGTACATATGAATTGCCCCTGTGTGTTTCTGTGTTTCTGCTCTCCCTTCATGTTGCATCTGCATGCTTGTGTGTATGTACATACCAGGAAGTTGCATAAGGGTCACTCTAAGCCATGTAACAGGATGGAGGAGGACTTGAAATGGAACAGGCAGAGGAATTTTGAGCTGCAGCCCAACTTCCTTTCCCGTAGGGATATACTGGGAGATTTTTTTCTGGATTGCTTTTCAAGGTTGGATCTGGGCCAACCTTGGGGTTTCTTTTGCTAGCTTCTGCTGTCACACCAAATTTGGTTTCATTCTTTTCCATTCTCAGGGAGTTATCCTGCTGAGGGACAGACAGAGTCATGAGCCCCTTAACCTAATTGCTTTCCAGCTCTCTGTTGAGTTGGAAAGAATAAAAAAAAGAGGTTGGATGAGGCTAGCCAAATGGCTCATTTTCTCTGGCCCTCTAAATTCCAGGGTAGATACAGAAAGCCATTTAGGAGCTGGTCACATCTTTAAACTCAGTATAGGAAGCATACAAACGTATGAGGAATAGGTCACCAGCAGCACTTTACTGCAAGCATGATTAAACAGCATTTAAAATGTGACCAGATGCTTATTAAGAGAAGTACCCTGTACTTTATGCTGTGAAATGGGCAATTTGTGGGAACCGATGGCTTGTGTCCATTGAAAGTTTTAGAAGCAATGCTGGATTAACAGTATCCATAAAAAAGCAAAGAAAAAGGAAATCACTGTCTTTTATTAAACCAATAATTACTATAAACCTGAATGACTTTAAGTTGCAAAGAAATCCTCTTTAGCTATTAGTGTTTAAAACATACCTGGCAAAAAATGAAGTAAAGTATGAAGTTATATGCAAAGGCTGAGGTTAAACAAATCATGATGAATGTTCTTCCTATTTGACAGACCAGGGGATGAAATTTAGTGCACACACGCACACACCAACCTTCCAGACACAGTTGACCATCTGTTTATGCTGTGAGATCATAAAAAGGGACACAGTCAGTTTCTTGTCCCCACTGTTATTTCCTTTTGGGAGGGGGGAGTTAAAGTTGGAGATAGGAGCAGAAAGCCTCCCAAGAGCATATCTCTCCAATTCCCAGCCTTACCACCACCCAAATATTGGAAATGTTGCTTTTGGCTATTTTTGGACACAATGTCAGTTGCTAGGGGCCTGGAGCATGCAGCTCTTGGCTACAGGCAGCCCATAATTGACTTCATATATCATATGAATTAGGTAGGTCATAAGGAGAAATGGAATCTGCATCAGAATGATGTAGTGAGATGTTCTTGTTCAGTGTTGCAGTTCGTAATTTCTTCCTCCATAATATTGCATCTATTTTTGCAAATCTTCAAGACTAAGATATTATCTTGGCTGCATAAAGATCAGTACTTGGAGAAGCATGATCATAAGTATACATATAATTATTCACTTCATAATTATTCACTTCCAGTGCTTCTTGATCTCTTGGATGGCAAATGAAGGGTATGACACTGTGTTCTCTGGAAATGACTTTCCATCTTTAAGAATGAATAATAGCTCAATCTGGAGGTAATTAAATATGTGCTAACCAATTCTTCCTTCTACCTGCCATCTGATGAAAAATTCTATGTAACTTAAAAACTCCCATGGTTGTACACCAGTGGAACGCCTGACACTGCTCCCATGCCTTTCAATGTACTGACATTGTACAGCTGAATCCCAGAAGACTATAGGCAAAATAAGATGTATTGGGCAGTACATAATATATGAAAGAGCATGCATTTCAGAATTCCAAATTTATGAACTTTTCTTGGGTATCATAAAAATATGCAGGCACTTACCTTTAGTTCCAGGAAGACCTAACTCAAAATGTGAATATAGTGTCTCAGTGATATATACTGGTTTGCCATTATATATCTCAGACACTCTGAAAGAAGGTTCCCAAGATATTTTGAAGCCAGACAGCAACTATTGAGTTATTGAGTGCAATAACAGAGTTATTGAGATACATAGTTTACTCTATCTGATATAGATTATTAGATATATAGATTATTATATGATTACTATAATCTTCCCATTGTTTAAAAAATCAGGTTTGTGTTTGTTAACATGTAATACAAATTCCAAAGCTGAATTGATTCAGCTTCACTTATTCCTGTGAGGAAAGATTTAGCCCAAAGAGTCCACTAACTTCCCACTGTTCATGTCACCTGTTTATCTGATGATTAGTTGTCTCTTCTGATGTCCATTTTAAGATGAAATTCTACAGAGGCTCTGTAAAAATGAGGGTCTCTAGATAATTCACCTGTGAGCCCATTTCAATTTTTTCATTTTTTTTAATGCAGCCCATATCCAAGGGTAGGGGGGGTCAGAATAAAGAAAGGGAAGGAGTGAGTGGGGTAGGCACACACTCTGACTCTATTCAAGATAGCACTGACCTTGATTGTGTGTACCACTGCACATTTTTCTTGATCTTTTCTTGAAGAGAAGAGACAGCCTTCCAATTTTTTGCTGTGGCTGGGAGGTCATAATTGCCTACTATATCCTGAATGATGTGCTGCCACAGCACAGATTTGAGCTAACAGGCCAAGATAAGGGATGTGTTAGAGACCCACGTTGTGCAAAGATGGCCATTAGGTTTAAATGCCGGAGACAAAGTAAGTCTCCAGTGTAGTACTGTGAATCATTAGCCCAGCGCAAAGAGGCAGATTTGAATATTTTGTGAACTTTCAGAATTATACAAACAAACAAATCTGGGTCTTTTGATTACAACTATTGAACGTTAAGCATTAGAGTTACAAGTTTTTACTGTGCTTTAACTGCATGGCTGACTGCAGTTAAACTGCATCCCAGCTTTCAGTGCACTTCAGTTCATTAAGTCACTCTTCTTCACCCTGCATCAGTTACTAGCTTCCTACTTGTGAGCAGATTGGAGACTAAATGTTTTTCTGGTATTTTTTTCCCCTCAAGTTTCTGAAAACTTTTCTCTTGAGTCACCAGCTCACAAGCTGGAATAGTTTTTATTATCATATCAGCAAATACAGTCCACACACCAAAATAAACCAAGTCATTGAATGAAAATGTTGAACTATGTAAGAAAAGCCTCTTTAAAACCAAGGGAATGCCTTTTTTTTTCTGAGTGATCTTCTTCTTCCTTCTTCCAAAAAGTGATCTTCCTTCTTCCAAAAGACTTACAATATAGGAAGGGTCATGTTAATTTTAATGTGTGGATTCCTTAATGCTGCATCACCTTGCTTTCAGGCGAAGGCAGGCAGGCAGGCAGGCAGGCAGGCAGGCAGGCAGGCAGGCAGGCAGGCAGGCAG